ATATATATATATATATATATACAGTGCAGTAATATAAAAAGTATTATATTTTAATATAATAAAAATATAATAAAAATATTAACTATATATATATGTATATTCAATGTTTCTTTCTTTTTTTTTGATATTTTGTGGGATACTATTATCGCAATCGACAATTGTCGCAAATAATATTGTGTTACATGTACTGCAACAAAACAGTATATTTTTGCAGTACAGTTTTATTTTTGCCATGCAACTGCTTATTATTTATTCATTTATATTTATTCACATTGTCACTTCCTTAATTAATTATTATTGAAACTGTTCTCTAATGACAATAACTATAGTTCCAACATTCTTTTTGTATGACGCAATAACTATAGTTCCAACATTTCTTTTGTATGAAAATTGATGCGCATATTCTTGGATCGTCTCTGAAATGTTGTCGCAGAAATCGTAAATACAATATTATAATTCATTTTCCGGTGAAAAATTTTTTGTTTGTATTATTACTATCTTTCTCCCATAAATTTATCAGTTATTCAGAAGTCATCAAGTAAATTACTCCTGTTACAATATGCTGCGTATATTTTTAACGTTGAATAAGCTGACGTGGTTATGTATTTACATTTTGAACAATACCTATCTATAAGAAACAGAAAAGATAATTAAATAAGTACAAATGAATAAGTGATAAATATATATAAAAAATGAAAATTGCGTTTTTTTTGTGATTTTTTTCAAAACGAAGCGGAAACAAACATATCTCTAAAGATTTTTCTTAATTTGTCGATCTCTTACACGCTCCCGAAGTTTGAGCATTTAAATTCGGGACACCCTATAATTTATGCATAAATTATCTTTTCATTTTATTTTATAGGAGGTATCGGTTTTCTTGGAAAGGTCTTAATTGAGAAGCTATTACGAAGTTGTTTCGACATTACTACAATATATTTGCTCATACGTTCAAAAAAAGACAAATGCCCCGAAAGCCGACTGGACGAAATATTTCAGAAACCTGTGAGTAATTCGTAAATACAATCAAGATATAATATATTTGTAAAGCGTTGTTACCTAAATCTGCAATATCTGTAGCTTTTTGAGCAATTGAAAAAGGAAGTACCCAACTTCCGCAAAAAAATTGTGCCGATTACGGGAGATTTGGAATCGGAAGACTTTGGATTGTCAACAAATGATAAGAAGATACTGATAAACGAGGTAATTAATTCAGATTATGTTTCTTATATTTTTGCTCGTATGATTCCAATGCTAAAAAGAATTTATTGTATATCTTAAAAGAAATTTATTTTATATATACCTATCTAATAAAATTTATTATCAGCAATTAGAATTAAACTCCCATTGCTTTTTTCTATTTTTTCTGTTAACAACTTTCTGTTAACTATATTTTCTGAAAACATTAAGCGTAACGATATATTTAATATAGGTGTCCATAATTTTTCACTTGGCAGCGAACATACGGTTTGACCAAAACATCAAAATTTCTATGAAAATAAACACTAACGCAGGTATTACCATTTTAAAATTTGCAAAACACATGCCAAATTTAAAGGTAATTATTTTATTTGATAGTGTTGTTGTACTAACTAAAAAATTGATATTGTGAAATTTTCATTTAGTTTAAGAAAGAAACATAAATTAAACATAATATTTATCCTATAGTCATTTATTCACGTGTCAACAATGTATGCAAACTATCATGTGGATTATATCGAAGAACGATTTTATTCATATCGCATTAATCACAAAGAACTTATTATGCTTACACGTAACTTATCCGAAAACGAATTTGAGAAGAAGATATCTAGGTATACAAATTTTTTCATTTTCTAACATAATAAAACAATTAAACATATTAATATAGAAAGTTAAACTATTATTTTGGCAGAATTGTCTCCAAATGGCCGAATATATATATATTCACGAAAGCAATTATGGAACAGTTTTTAAAAACCGAAAGCGGAAATTTACCAATTGGAATATTTCGGCCTGCCGTAAGTAGGTAGAAAATAGATTTTAATTTTTATAATTAAACTAAAATAGAATTTTTTGCTAAATCGTTAATGCTATAATAAGTTTAATATAAGTCATAATGCTATTATATTATAAATCACTAATGTAATTATCATAAATTTATTATAAATCATGCTGAAGCTGACAATTTTCTAATATTTTTTTGTTTTTTGTAATTATTGCAGTTGCGATTCGTTATTGTCAGTACTTTAATTCTGGAAAAGGAACTTATTATTCTGTGAAATCAATAAAAAGATTGGCTGATCCGAAAATAACGACTCGTGATAATATATACTGCGTACAAAAATTTTAGACTTTGTATATACATATATGTATGAAACGAGCGTAGATCGCGTGCGGAATACATGAAAGAATACAAAGTACTTTTACTGATAAGCCTAAGTGCTTCAGTGTAAAAGAAAGATTGATCCGAAAATATCATTGTATGCGATATTGATGTAGTAAACATCAACACATCAGACACACTATTATATCAATATCGCACACATACCCACATGTGCACAAATCGTCAGTAAAACAGCGATTCCACGGAGTTCGGCCGTCATTCCAGCATTACCTTAACTATATGTATAAGTTTTATTGTGTATGTACAAAAAAGAATAATTAAGATTTTTTTTAGTTTCACCAAGCGCTAGTGAACCACTTGTTGGATGGATTGATAATTATTATGGGTCGATAAGTTTTGTGACAGCTGTGCTTTGTGGTCTTACAAGATTTTTTGGTTTTAATGGAGATTTCAACGCAAATCTAGTGCCCGTTGACTTCACCGCAAACGCTTTAATTACTAGTGCATGGGACGTCTTTAATCAATGCAGGTATGACCAGACACACAATCTATTATCGTAATTTATTAAAAATCTTATTTCTTTCATTTAAACATTGTCACCAAATAATAGCATAATAACGTCTTCAATTCTATACATTTTTTAAATTATTTTCAGATATGATTTTTTAATCATTTATTATACATTTATATAATATTTTAATGCTTGTAACAGATTATAAACATCAGATGCACATAATAATAATGGGTAATTGATCAAAATATCAAGTATAAATTAATAATTAATTGTTATTATTATTAAACTATTTAAATTCATTAACATTTTTTCTTTATTTATATATATCTATAAACCCACAAATAATTCTTTATTAATTATATTTTATATAATATTAAATAATTTATATTTAAATATGGACTTATATTTTAAGTATTGCCTTATTGCAAGTATTATAATATTATTTTCAATTAATCTTATGCCTTATATGTAATCATTATGTTTGTAAGATTGAATGTATTCGTTCCAAATCCAAGTGTGTAAATCTGTAGTCACTTTTTACACATTTATACGCGTGTTATATTTTTACACATTTTATCTGTGTTTTACACAGTTAAATGCATATTTTTACACGTTTAATTTTACAATAATATGTGTAAGCGTGTA